TGGTTTCTCTTAACTATTTTTTACACAAAATTTTATTAGTTTTTTAATATTAAGTTATCTTTAATATTTATATTTTTTTATTAATTAAAAAATAAAAAACAAAAATAATAATAATAATAAAAAAGAACAAAGCAAAATAATAAAATATATTGATTTAAATAATATTATTTTATAGTATAGATAACAAGAATATATTTGAATATTTATATAATTTTTATTAATATTATAATTTTCTATATTTATTAATAAAATTGAAATATTTTATATAAGACAAAAATTTTAATTTTATTATATTTTATTAATACTTAATAAAAACTAGTAATTTAAATAATAAAATTTTTTATTTATGTTATAATTAATAAATTTTTTAATAAATTTTTAGTAAATATTATATATAATTTTTTTGAAATATTACTCTTATAATATTTTAGTATTAAATTAAAATATTAATTAATTATTAAAAATATAATTAAAAATATAATATATATAAATTAATTATAAATATATACAATTTTTAAAATAAAGTAATAAATTAATTAAATAATTATATTTAATTATTATAATATATAGTAATAATTAGAAATAATACAATAACATCAAAATTTATTAATTAAAATATAGATTTTTCTCTTTATATAAAAAGTTTTCAATATTATTAATAAATATTTTTTAATTTTATATTAAAATAAAAATAATATTATATATTTTAACATATATTTTTTTCAGATTTTTTAGATTTGATCTAATAAAGCTATTTTAATTGTATATAAAGTTAATTATTTTTTTATATATTTTAATTATAAAAAAATAATTAATTTTATATGCAATTATAATAACTTTATCAGATTAAATCTAAAAAATATACGTTAAAATATGTAATATTATTTTCATTTAATATAAAAATAAAAAATATCTATTAGTAAAATTAAAAATTTTTATATAAAATAATTCGTATTTTACTATACTTAATTAATAAATTTTGTTATTTTTGATTCTCACTATATATTAAGAATTTATTAATTAATTTATTATAATAAAAAAATTTATTATAAATAATTTTTGAATTAAAATTTACTATATTCAGATTGTAATTAATTTTTATTATTATATTTTTAATTGAAATTTAAATAAATTATAATATATTCCAATTTTTATTTCAAAATTTTTTCTTTATTATATTTTAACTTAATAAATATTTAAATTAGAAGAAAAATCAGTAATATACATACATTATAAATAACTGTCAATATAAATTATAATAAAATTATAATCATGAAAATTTTAAGTTAAAATTGATAATATATTAAATACTTTTTAATTATAAACTCGATTTGCATAATTAAGTTAAATAATAATAAATTTTATTTTATTTAAAATTGCAATAAAATTAAAATAAACTTATAAAAAGCTGTTTGAACAAAAAGCAAGTTATAAAATCTGAATATGTGAGTACTAGAAATAAAATAAACAAATTAATTCATTTATTACCAGTTAATTTTTTGAAATAACTCTTGTTGCTAGATCATTTGTCATTTGAGTGCATAAGAAATATCAAATAACATGAACAATATGACCAATAGTCACTTGATATTCTCTGTCATTAAGTCGAGTTTTATCAAATAAAAAATAATTTTCTAAACACAGTTTTCATATTTTATACTTTATTAAAAACACTAAAAGTAATGGAAATGCTATTGCAGCTGTATTAATAGTTGATGAAAGACATAATATACTAGTACTCTAGTCATAGCGATGAGGTCATGTGATTCTTATCACCTTAAAATCATGTCCAATCAAATCGCAAGATCAATATGTTACACAAAAAATTGAAAACAAACGCTTATTTTTGAAAAATAGCATGTATCTTGAAATTCACTCAAGAAACAGTCAATTGTGTTCTAATAAAAAAAATGTTCCTTGCGAAACTCACTATATATTATGTTCCTGTTTGCGATGTGCAATAACCCTAAACTAATCCTAATCATTATCGAAACGTAGACCAGAGATCATCTTTAGTGCTAAGTGGCAAAATTACCATGTACTAATGCTGAAAGATTATTAAACTCTAAACACTTTTTCTGCAAATCAGTTATGGATGTTAATCAGCCCTATTAAATCATAGGACCGAACTGATTGGCGGTCCTATGTAAAACATAGGAATCGGACCATCAACAGCCCTATAATCGGGGAATGACGAGATTTGTTATTAACTCTATTTTATAAATATTTTTGAAATTTAGTTGATTACGGTACTAGTTTTCATATGTATAAAATAAACTCTTAATTATATCTGTTTCCTTTCTCTTTTGAATTAGGAATTTTAAAATTATTGTATTGTTATACATACGTACTCTCCCTTTCCGAATACGTAATTATTGTGATTATTGTTTGTATAACTGTGCATCTATTCATTGTAATTAATTACATGTAATATATCATCATTTGTACAAAAATATGCAACTTGTTCATTGATTCAAATGTTACAATATCCAGTTGTATGTGCCTTTTTCTTGTAGAATTACGTAAAAGGTTCCTTTCACATGCAAGCATGATCTATTAAATATGTCGGATGATTTTTTCATTTTAAGTAAGGATCCTAACGGTTTTGTCCGATTCTGTATTAGGTGGTAAAAACACATAAATTTTTTTGTTGTATTCGGTTCTGTGTTCGTTTTTTTCGGAACCTTTAAGTAAGTTTCAAGCGATAACTGGTGTTTAATATATAGATACAGTATATTCGATTATACTAAGAATGGTGTTGTTTGTAGTATGATAAGAATTTCTGCAGAAGCTTGATTTTTACTATTCAAACTACAGCATTATTAATGCATATCGATATCAAATTTATTAAATGAGCCGAGTGCTGGAAAATGACAACCCATTGGATTATCATTTTCCATATATATTATATACAGCGACCAGAAAAAAAGCGCACCCCCAAACCTCAAGATCTCTGGTGTTATCTAAGAATAACTGCTCATAGATATTTTAAAATGTGCTGATTCATGAAATTAGTCTTGAACATCGAAATATGAGCGATTAAAAAATAGATATATAGTGGTAGGTAGATTCGATAATTAGGTACACAAATTAACGTTAAGTTTTTATGTTAAAATTAGATTATTCGATTTTATTTTTAGAAAATGGATTAACCCACCAGATCGATCTACGTAATCTATATCGATATAAATTTGCTATGATGGAGTTTTGGTGACCAATATTACATACATACATGCATATTAATATGTAACTCGAAATGTATTCAACTATGATCATACTCGACCCTAGAAGTTTAAAATGTGTAATAAATTGCGAGATCAATGTGTAACGCAAAAACTCCATTATTTTTGAAAAATAACTTATATGAAATTGCCTTTTGTGGTCTAACAAAAAAGCATCCTTGCAAAATTTTGCTTTAATTACCTTTTGTCTAGCAAATGATCTTAATTTTAGCCCTAACTTAACCAAAATTCTCATTAAATTATTGGATACATTGCGAAAAATTTTGAAATTTGGGGTATCGCTGTATGTGTCATCATAATCTAATATTGATTAGCTAAGTATGTTACGAAAATACAGTGGGCGCTCGGTACAATAACGTATCGGGGGAAGAGATTTGGTGTTATTATATCGAGATGTTACTCTATCGAAAAAATAAATACTATGAAAGCTTATTACAGTAATGAGATCGGGGGAAGAGATTTTGTGTTAGTATAACGAGATGTTATCTTAAAGAGTGTTATTGTAACGAGCGCTCACTGTATCTAGTTCTATTCAACCTTGCGCGTCCAATCAAATTGATTTCAAAAATCCTGTGCTTTAATTGGATGCACAAGTTTGAACTTTAAACAATGTTTGATGAGTTTTGATGTCAAAGGTCTGGTGTTTTCTATGTCTAGAAAAGAAACAAGAACAATTTTTCTTCATATATCGATATACAAGACGAGTGAGCAACTGGACATCAAATAAAAACATAAATAATAAAATAAAAATAAAAGACTTGAGCAGTTATTGATACTCAAGGAAAAATGTTTAAAAGAAACGGGTCAATGATCAGGTTTGCTAGATTTTTATCCGCATCCAAGAGTTGATTAGTTGCATGTATCTATCCAGAAGTTCATTGTTTACTGCTAATTCGGTTACAACATATTAATGTTTTAATGTTACAACTCACTCTCATTATAGTGAAAACATCGGTAAGGGAAAAACCTTCACTATAGATTATAACGAGATAATATTATTTAACTTCACTATATCGAGTTGAAGTTTGTTAATGATTCTAAAAAAATTCTTCACTATAACGAGAGTGAGTTGTGGTTTATTTGGTTAGGATATTAATTTATGATATAATTAATTAGAATAGCCATTTAATAATAGATAGCAAATGGAAACGCAACGGAGAAACTCGATCCGAGCATTCAGCTATCAGGTTAATTTTTAATATTTATTATATTCATTTTCAACGGATATTTAATTGAGCTTATATACATGTAGACAGTAATATTATTATTCTATGCATTGATAACGGAATACGTAATTGCATCGAATCTCCAATGACATCGACTTGAACTTTTACACTTTTTCGACCAATTACAAACTTTGATGAGAGACAAGATAATAGTATTGGTAGGTGCTTCTTAACCAAATTGAGTTTGAATTTGATTTGCCTCCAATTAAGTTTATAAGGCACAGCTACCCGTTTGAAATTAACATCAAATGATAAATAGGTTCCAAGGTTTGCTCAAACAATAGATTCAAAGTAATAGAGTTAGAACCTCCATCCGCTAGAAAATTTGGATCCACGTGATGATGATGATGTAACAGCCGGCTCTGTTATTGGAGAAATTCTGGCTATATCGATCTTGGTTGGAGCCCTCTTTTCGAGAAAACTACTATCCTGTATTGTACTGTAATAAACCTGGTACTAGCACTATATACTGTACATGTTACATGTATATAGTATGAATGGGCGATTCAGCATGGTCATCGAAAAATAGTTAAGTATGGATTCAGTGTATAGGTTATATCAAATGACTTCTTTTTGTCGACGACCAATTAATAGAAGAGAAATTACATTACCAGAAATACGAACCAAAAAAAGTTGTATGAAAGCAAAAAACGTTCTGTTTATAGAGTCACGCTATTCAGCAACCCAGTGAAGTGAGTGATAACCTTTTATTAAATCGACATATCTATGTATTTACTGAAAAAAATACATGTACATGTAACTATTGAATAGCGTAACACCGCTGTTTATATGGTTGTTTTATATATGTAGTTATTTATTTAAAATATTTATTGGATATACCGACATACTATACCGATACATACTATATTTAGAATACAACGACTAATATAACAACATAGAAGCCATATTTTGCTTATTAAGCTCTTGCAAGGTTTCATTCTTTGCTGCATCGGGATTGGCTTGAGTGGGCAATACAGGCTTGTTTGGTGCATTTTGTTGTTTTCTTCGATTGCGTAATAAATAAACCATGAAGCCTACAGCCAAAACCACAACAATTGATCCAAATATGGCAACGATCATTATAGTTTTTTTGTTATTGTCAGGTGATGCTGTAGAATTTGCGCCTTGAGACGAATTTGCGACAAAATGATCAGCCCATGTATAATTTAAATCCAAGACTTTGATAACTGTTCGATTAGTATTTGCTGTCTTAAAAGACCCTTGAATTTCAAAAGCAAAAATTAGTATTTATTATTAGCTTTAGCTTTTAATCAAATAATTACCTAGACATACAATCATATAATAATTATATATGACCGTCGTAGGAAAACTCGATACATCTTCAATGCTAGGTTTGTTTGGTGTTATAATCTCTGAAAATTCGAATGTTTGCAAGTGTAAAGTAATCAAATAATCAGGCGGAACTCCCGAATCATTCGATTTTGAACCACCATACAGGATAATATTTAGTCTGTTGGGTTCTATGATTTATATGAGTTATCAATATGATTTGGTGATAATTAAAACATTTATTACTGAAAATACTCTCTTACCTAAAGCAGCTGAATGAGCATAACGGTTACTTATAGATGTATTATTTGTCGCATTCTTTTGATTCAACCAAAATTATTAGTGCATTATTGCAAATCTAATTTCTTCACAACGCTCACTTACTTTTATAGTCCACGGATTTTCTGTATTGAGAGTATCATATATCAAGATCTTTAATAGAATGATTTTCAATATTGCATTTGGTTTTTAATCAAACAAAATTTAAATAATTGAATACAATGAATGAATGCATGGGTTACCTCGCGAATATCGACACATTTTTGACCTGTAGTGTTTGCAAAAACGCCACCAATAAAATAAAGTTTGTCATCATTAAAAGTCACCGAATATTGTGATCTCTGCGCAGGAACATAAGAAGGAAGAATTTGGCTCCACTTTGAGTCAAATGTGTCAAATATGTACATGGTTTGATCTGTTGCAAGCGTTTCTCCACCCCAGATATAAAGTTTTCCGTTGTCATCAAAAATCGAATTAAGAGCCCAGCGTGCGCTTGGAGTATTTCCGGATACTGACGAAATTGAAATTGGGTAAGACGTTACATCGATTTTATAAAAGTCGCTTACGGGAGTTCCTTTAGTCCAATCACTATTATTGGTTGGCTTTTCATTGCATTTAAAAATTAATTAAAAATTCAATAGTAGCATATTAAATGTGCACTTATACTTACAATCAATCCACCAAAAGCATAGATTAACGAGCGATCGTTCTTCTTAAGCGCACTGAAAGCAGCATAGTTAAATGTTGGTGCATTGGATAGATTATCGATTTTGGTAAATGCTGGTGCTGATGTGGTCCAATTTACAGAAAGGTCTAAGGAAAAAGCATTGGTATTATTAATGCCAAAGTCAGCACTATCAAAGAATATAATTTTGTTGTCGATAAGTGTTCCGTGTTCTGCTAATCGTAAACCATTCGGCGCGTAAGATGATTGCGCATTTATGATTGGAATAAAGAAAATAAAACATGAATAAATTAATGGGAATAAGAACATGTTTTAATATTTTTTTGGTTTTATTGGTTATTATGAGCTGTCGAAACTATCAACCAGACAAAGATTGAAAGAAAAATCAATTTATACGTCTCTAGAAATGTCCAAAAATAAACTGATAAAGGGAGCTATTCCTTCTCGTAGCACTGCATTGACCAACCAGTAATACAAGTACTTACATACTTGGATTAGTAGGTGAAAAATTTAGAGACAATTACGTACGGTAATGTTACATAATGATTTGTCGATCAACATTTACATATCGATATACCGATACTAAAACTGTAAATTACAATGAATATACGTACATGTACTGGCGATAGTCGACATCAATATATAATTTTATTATTATGTAAAAAAAAACTCTAAAAATCATACGTTATTGCACTAGGTAACGGTAGATAAATGTTTTCGTCGGTATCTATTATTTGGATAAGTACGTAAAGTTAAATCAATTATCGTTGGCAATAACACGTAAAATCAACATAGGTCAGCCACGTAAGAATTACGCCAGTACGTAAATCATATCGATATACGTATATTCCATGTAGAATGCATGTGGTTGTGTGGCTGGTTAGGTATAGCAGGGTGTAAGGCTGTCTTTTAGACAGCGTGAGTTAAAATCTAAAATATTGTGAGTCTTTATAGAGCTAGATAAAGATTTTAAATGCTTTAAAATTTGTATTACCTTCTTTGATATTTTTAGAAAACTTGTCTAAATGGAATGAGAGGATGAAAATTCCTTAGGAAAAATTAGAAACCGTTTATAGCAAGGATCTCCCAATTTGATTGGTCAATTTCCAATAACAACAATTGAGTTCAGTAAAATAAATGGGCTTCACGGAATAACGTACGACGATATCGATACGTACATGTACATACCGATACATACTTAAGAATGATACAAGATATTGATTCCTTATTACAAAGATAAATTTTCTTTGATGTTTATTTGTATTAATTGATAATTAACCAAAAAAGAAAGAAAAAGTTATTATATTCTGGAAATCATCTTAATGTAAAAAAAAAGCAGCACATAAAATCCACAGAAATTGCAAGGAATGGCACGAAATGACACGTATAAGCACGCACGGAAAAACAACAAACTCCGTATACATAAACTTGTTTTTAGTACAGGTTTTTTTTAGCACATAACGATAGGTAGGTACGGACTGTCAAATCCGTACCATTACCGTAGACAGCGTTTCCCGTGCTTGTACGTACCATGCCGTGCCGTTTCGTCCATTCCTTGCAATTCCCGTAAATTTTAGATTCTTGGTTTTTATAGGCTAGCTTAATTAAGAAACTTCGCATAAGATTATTGAATTCGATACATGTACTTGCCGTTTTTTCAATGAGCTTTCCACTAGAAAACTTGAAATAGTACTATTATTTGTATTTTTTTGACGCTAGGAAATTCAAATGTCGAAATCGACTACTCGTAAATTAATATCTCGTTTTTGATTTAAATGCGCGCCAATAAAATCAGAAAAATTATTTATTTGTATTGAAAGACGCCAAATGAACTGAGAATCAAACCGATAATTTTCAGTGGCGGAAAATACGTCGCTATATCTGTATTGCTTTTGTGAATTATATATCGATATGTTGTTATACGTCGTCGTTTTGGACGTGCGTCGTTTCGGAATTTGAAATTGATGTGCGTCATTTTGGAATTTCAAATGACACAGCTATTGTTACCGCCGGCGAACAAAAATCTCCAATTCCGGCTTTTCTGGATGAAACGGCGAAAGATGAGCCGTGGATGTCGCCAACGTCGAACGGATGTTTCATCAACATCGCAGATTTCCTAATCCGACATGTTTTTCAGCGTCTACAGCATATTCCATCACGATTATCAACACTGATGCAGATTTCCCAAACCGATATATTTTTCAGCGTTGCTTCAGCAAATTCCCATTAACAATGCTGCAGATTTCCTAATCCGATAGAATCTTCAGCGTCGCTATAGCAAATTCCCATCACAATCATCAGCAACGCTGTTGTAGATTTTTCAGCATAATACTGTAAATTCCCCTGACGTGCAGTTAAAAACAACAGGTTTCCCTTTTGGAATACAGTATGAAAATGCGAGCGCCTCTACGCCTGCTTTTGTCGAAATACAGCATTTGTCATCATCTTTCAGCGTCTCCTCATCATCTTTCAGCATTTCCCCATCATTATTAACGTCTCCACGTCATCTTTCAGCATTCCTCCATCATTATTAGCGTCTACACGTCATCTTTCAACATCTCCCATCATCTTTCAGCATTCCCCCAGCATTATTAGCGTCTTCACGTCATTCTTCAGCATAGCTCTATTAGTTTTTAATTCAGCTTACATCAGTTTCTTTCATAGATAGTAAAATGTTCAATATAAACGTTTTTATTAATAAATAGTATTAAAAAGTAACAAATGTCACAAAACAAAAAAAATGTATAAAAGAACGGCCTACGGGCTACTAAAAAAAAAAACAGAATAAAAAGAATTATGAATTAAAAAAAAATAGAATTCATATTGCGAACAATTAAAGCTACTTGTAAAAAGAGTTCACATTGCGAACAATTGTTCTCCAAGCGAAATTATTGCGTACAATTATTCTCCCCCTAAGTAAATTATTGCTTGTAAAATCTCTTCCCCCCATTAATCATTATATTAATTGTCGGTTAGGTCCTTTTTACCAGAAAAGGCATTATTTTATTTAGATTCGCATTGTTAATGAAAAGCCGTTTTCGTGTGATCGTTATTTTTTAAGAGTTTAAGGCTTTCATCTAGAAAAAGTAATTATTGTTAGTGATATTATTAAGAGTTTAAGGTTTTTGTCTATAAAAAACAATAGATAAGAAAACCCCCAAACACTCACCTGAAACACATAATCTCTCTCTCCCAATCAACGTAATCAATAATATCTGTAGATATCAGCACAGATTTTAGATACCAAACAAACATCACACAGTCTAATAATCTCTCCCAAAGTTTTGTTGCGTCAGAAAAACTTCAAATCGCCCCACATTAATTATAAGTGTAACAACAGCACAAAAATCTTTATTTCTTATACAATAGATATTTTATCAATATGGATAATTTGTTAATTCTATCTTGAAGATTGATTAGCAAGAAGCAATCTTTTACGTTTTTTTTTGTTTAATAAAAATAGACTTCAGTTAAGTTATTACCAATAATTTTGATAATTTACTGTCTTTTTGATATAATTTTTCTAGATTATATGTTTCAGGTGAGTGTTTGGGGGTTTTCTTAACTATTGCTTTTTATAGATAAAAGCCTTAAACTTTTAAAAATATTATTAACAATCTTTGCTTTTTCTAGACAATGGTTTTTCATTAACAATGCGATTCTATATAAAATAATGCCTTTTCTGGTACAAAGGATCTAACCAACAATCAATATAATAATTAAAGTGGGGAAAAATAGGAGGGGAAAGAGTTTTACAAGTGATAATTTACTTAGAAAGAATAATTGTATGCAATAATTCAAGTTTAATTTTGCTTGGAGAACAATCTTACGCAATATGAATTCTCTTTTTACAAGTAGCTTATTTGAAGAATAATTGTTCACAATATGAATTCTGTTTTTTATTAATAATATATAGGCTGTTCTTTTATACATTTTTTTGTGTTTCATGTCATTTGTTATTTTTAATACTACTTTAGTTATTAATAAAAATGTTTATATTGAATACTTTAATATCTATGAAAGAAACTGATGTAAGATGAATTAAAAATTGATGGAGTTATGCTAAAGAATAATGAGAAGACATTAAAAATGATGAGGGAATGCTGAAAGATAATGAGAAAATGCTGAAAGATGACAAGAAGTGATGACAAATGCTGAAGAGAATGATAAAAATTGATAATAAATATTATATTTTAATAAAAACAGATAAAAAAGATCATATTTTCATGTTATATACCAAAAAGAAAAGTCTATTTTTTATTTGCATATTAGAGAGAATTTACAATATTATGCTGTTATTTTTACTAAAAAATCTACCAGATCTGAAAATTAGCAATGTTGGAAATATATTCATTTAGAATTTGCAATATTTACAGTTTGTCTTTTGCTATTTTATTTCAAAAAGCTAAAATCAAAAAATTTTGTTCATTGATAATAACAATATGATAAATTTTAAAATACCTAAATTTTAATAACAAAAAAAATATACTATAAAGAATTATTATTATACTTTCTTGTTAATTTAAAAATTGTTAGAATTAATGAATTAACAAAGTAATATAATAGTAAAAGAACAAAAACTAAATTATTTATAATTAATTAAATTTACTAAAAATTTTAAAGTTTTTCTATAGTAATTTATATGCAAACTAACTTAATATTAAAGATTAAAATAGGAACAAAGAGAAAATTTAAAGAGAAAAAATAAATTAAACTAAAAAAAACCTAATAAAATTAATAATAAACTAATAAGATTTATTGAGAATATCTAATAAAATAAAATAATAATTAAATTTATTAAACATGTTAATATATTAAACAAAATAAATAGAAATTATTAATATAATCTAAAAATTATAAACTAAAATAAATAAAAATACTAAAATCAATAACTTATTTGAAGTGAAAATACATTCACTACTTAAAATCAAAATTTGAAAATAATTATAAAAATAATAATATATTTACAAGTAAGAATGCTTGCCTAAATTCTTTCAGAAAAATATCATCATAATTTTGATGAATTATACACTAATTGTTAATTAGAATTTCAGCATAATTTCAGTTATAACAGATTTCAAAACTCATCAGAATTTTGGTGGGCTATTTATTAATAGTTTATTATAATTTTGACAGAATTTCAGCAGTTACTAAGAGATTTTGGCAAGCAACCTTATTTACAAGTATAATATTATAAGTAAAAACTTTGTTATTTTTATTAAATTAAAGCATGAGAGTTTCTAGAATGAAAAACTTTTTTTATATATTTTTAATAGTTTTTTCAATTATATAATTAATAATTATTTTAA